CACCCCTACACACATACACAGTCATTTCCCATGACTCTGTGTTGCTTTTCTGGTTTGGAGACGGTATGTGCTTGTAGCATCTTTCTGTACAGAAACTACTCCAGTTTGAAATTATTATAATATTCTTTTGCTCTTATAGTCCTTTGGCTTTTGATGTGAACATGCCTTAAGTGAATGTGACCTTTTAACTCATTTCTGAGAACAAGATTTGTACTCATGGTTTTGAAGTTGTGTAAATAATTTTGAAGAATCATTTATAGTTCTTTTATTGAGACCTTACTGCTTGTAAGAGAATGTTTTGTTGAGAAAGTGTTTGGGAGCGACCTTACTGCTTGTAAGAGGATGTTTTGTTGAGAAAGTGTTTGGGAGCTATGTAGTGAGCTAGGTGGTACAGAAAAGTCCTTGGTCAGTGCTAAATCTGTCTTTCGTCTGCCTGTTGAAACCTTGATTTTTGGTGTGGAGGGTGGTAAAGTTTCCATAGTGGAAAGGTTGGCTGTGGTATGTGGGAGGGTTGGTTGGAAGAGACTACTGGGACTGGTGAGTCCAGGCTCCTGCTCAGAGCAGAATTGTGGATAATCCTTGCCAGCTGTAACTTTGCTCCCAGAGGTTTACAAGGCTCAGTGGACTAAGATGATCACCTCTCTGAGTAAGGCACCAAACCACCTTGAAGATGTGTTTTCTAATGTCCACTATGAACCTCCCAGGCTGTTACTTGTGATACCCAGAAAAGTTTGCCTCCCTTGTTTTTGTAATGTGCCTTCAGCTCGAGGCAGTATTTGGTCATCCCTAGGCTGCATCTTTGTCAGACTGAGCAAACCCAGCTTCATCACCAGCTTCTCAAACATCATCCTCAAGGCTTCAGGCCATTTTGTTGACACTTACCAGGTTCTCAAATTCCTTTTCAACCTGGGAGGCTTGAAATAGAACACAGTATTTGAGCTACAGTCTCACCAGCATTGAGTTTCTTTTGATTGCACTCCTCTTGGCTTTCCCTGTTTGCAATGAGAGCTGACTCTTGGCTCATGTTCAACCTGGCAACCAGTTTGATCTTCAGATCTGTATCTGTAAGGCTGTTGTTCAGCCGGTCTGATCTTAGACTCCACTGAAGTGGGATCACCCCAGGAGCGGAATTTTGCGTTTTATGAGGTTCCTGTTGACCCATTCCTCAAGTTTATCAAGGTCCATCTGAGTTGAGTCTCAATTTGGAGAGTCAGTCACTCATTCTTGTGTAGTATCATCCACAAATTTTCTGAGGATCCATTCTGTCTGGTTGTTGATGAAGATGCTGTATAATATTGGCCTCAATATCAGCCCTTGTGGTGCTTCTTACCCAGTACCAGCTGGATGCAGAGGCATTCCCTGTAAGCTCAGCAGATGAGCCTGTTGCCATTGTAACAGGCCATTTCTCTAGCCTATGCCTGTTCATCTTACTAGTCAGACACTTGTGGGAAACTGGATCAGTCCTAGTCACTGAAAACTGGACTGTGATTTCATATGTTTCTGACAGGTGCATCAAGGTAATACTTGAAGTGCTAGTAACTGAAGCCAGCTTTATATAAGTAAATTCATATAGGTAAAATGAAGTTTCACACTCACTTTGGACTTGCAAAGATGATGCTTACTTTGGAGGAGTTGTGGTGCTGTGAAATGTGGTCTCTGGCATTCAGAAGCTCTGTAGAGAGTCCTTTTTCCTTTATTTGACAAATATGTGACCTTTTTGTATGTAGGTAAAGCTTGTATATTTAGAATGCACATATTAGTCATTTAAAGGAGTTAGGGTCACTAATTTTGTCTCAAGTACGTTTTACTACAAAGTCTAAGCAGCTTCACTTTTAGAAATATTGTTTCTAAATCTTTTTGTTTCAAAACACTGGAACAAGCACTATTGAACAGTCATTTCTAGTGGCTAAACAGTGTCTAGTGCTATGAACCTTACATTGTTCTAGAGACGTGTAGAACCTCTTCTCAAAACAGCTGAAGTTATTTTTCCTGCTTGTAGTAGTGTGCATTTACTTTAGTTTTTCACATTATGGCACTATAAAACTATACATATACTTATTGCTCAGTGTTCAAATAGTCCAATCCAAACCTGAAAATGAAGGAATAAACCATAATTTAATCTTTTAATTAGGAACTTAATACTAAATTGGTTTCAGGAATGGTTTGTAAGCCTGCAGTCTCCATTTCAGTTTTGAAGCACTGAGTCATTTTTCCACCATTTCAAGTGGCAAAATGGGAGTAGCCAATAATCATTTGCTTGACTGGATACAGTATTTTCACATAGTTTGTTAACCAGAGCCCAGTAACATGGATCTGTGATCACACTGAATTTCCAGATGTTCTAAGCAACTGGACAATGGACAACTTTTTCAAGTGAAAGAAGAGAAAATAGAGCCTTGGTATTGTGGAGGTAACACTTGAAAATGAGACTGGTGGCTCTAAAACTTGAATGTGATCTAAAGGGAAACTAAACTATTTTATGTTATTTTTCAAAGCCATTCAACTGATTCCTGAATATCTGGAGTTCAGTAAGTGGTTTAAAAACCAGAGAGGCTTTTTTTCTTTGTTCCAGGTGAAAACCAGGGCTATTCTACATTTAGTATATGGCTGTTTGCACCTGAAAAGCTGTTTGTGCCAGGGGGTCATGGTAATAACTTCTAGTGTCATACAACTAATTTCATGCATGTATCATCAGAGTAATGTAAGATGAGATGAAACAAGAAGTAACTGGTACCCTGTGTTCATTCAATAGGTATTATGGGCACAGATTTTGTCTCTCCTTTTCATTTCAATATTTTATGAATAAAACTAATTCCATCTAAGGTTTTTCACCTCTTAGGAAATGAGCAAAGAGGTGAACAAATAGACCTTTTGGTATCCTAGAGGCAGATTGGTGAAAATAAAGATTTGCACTCAGCTCAAGCAGAGAAGTATTGGTGAAAATCAGTAGGAAGACACTTTTGTCTGCTTTTCTTTGTGAAATAAATTGAAATTTGACAATGTCTTTGCAATTTTTTCATGCGTAAGTTTGAAGAGCTGTGTAATGGCAGTGTGAGTTCAGTGCTTAGCAGCTGATGTGAAGCATAGGATGTCAGGCAGCACTTTTTGATTGGAAATTGGGTTATGGGATTTATTTTGTTGTTCACTTCTGGTGCTTCCATGGAAAAATAAATCATCCCAGTGGAATGAGACAATGAGAAAGGTGAATGGGCCTAGATTGGAACAGGTAGGGCTTGCATTGAACTGATTAGCAAGGCTAATTTTTAATGTACTAACATTAGAAAATTTATAGCCTTGTGCAGCATGGATTTAGAAAATGCATCGGTGTCAGAGCCAAGGCTTTTTGTTTTGTTTTATTTTTTTTCTTCCTCTCAGTAACTTTGATTCATGGCACCTTGGCCTGCTGTTTTGGTTTTAAATAAACTTGTCAATGGTTTCCGTGTAGGAGAAACAAAGACAAATGTGAATTATACCTAAAACTCTGCTGGTATTGAACAATTCCTTCGAATTTGATATCTTTTTTTTGTCTCTTCGTGTGTTGAGAGAAGTATAGGTATGACAGATATCCTTCTTTTGTTCTCTCAGAGTCTTAAATTTCTTGTGTGGATTACTGGCTTTTGGTAAAATGTTTTTTGAGGTGTGTTCCTGTGTGAACACAAAAAACCCACCCACTGTGTTTTGACCTTGGTGAGCATCTCTGCTTGTTTTACTAGCTTTCTTGATAAAAGCTTAGCTTTCCATGTTTCAAAAAGAGCATTACATAGGTCAGTCTTCTAAAATGTACTTAAGTGAAAAAATATGCAGATGTATTTGGTATTAAAACCAACAAAAATGCCAATCTCTGGGGTAGGTATACTGAAATGAGAAGTTGGAAATTACCTTTCTTTTTCCCTTTTTGTCGTCCCCCCCATCCCCTCCGCCCCTTGAATAAGCAGTGAAATGTAATGAGATATGCCTTGTTTGAATGGAAACTGTTTTGGAGACTTGCATGCTGAATTGGTGTTATTTAGCAGACAATGCAATGGCTGATGTGTTACCCTTGAGTCTAATTGCTTAAAGCCAGAGAGTGTTGGGCATCTTGTGTATTGGACATCTGGCTTGGCTTCCCTCCTGCTGTACCTCATTACAGATTTCTCAGCAGCTTCTCCTGTTGAACTTTTTTTTTGTCCTGTGTTTTTTGGCATGGAAACAGGAAAGGCTGGACCTTCCTGCCCATATAAACAATAAATCCCAGTAAACTTAACTGGCACAGGTTCTGCCTCCCTTCCCTGGACACCATCTTTAAAAGGAAGGAAACAGTATGAGTGTTTTGGGTATTGGAAATAGGATTGACTTCATAGTAGATCTGTTTTCTTGAAGAAATATGTAGCAGAGGCAGGGCACCTCTGTTGTTTTACTGCATGAAGTCCTTGACATTCAGATCTAAAAGGTATTTTTGTGTGATCATCTTAAGTGTTGTGTTATATAATCAACAATGTAGAAACTTCTTTCATGAATTAATACAGCTGTATTCCTGATTACAGTGAGTTTTGGCCAAGTGTACTTTTTAACATGTTCAGAGTTGTGGAGCTGTATATTCTATTTCCTTTATATACACTGCCTCAGTTTCACAAACCATCTGGAATTTTAATTCTTATTCTACTTTGTGAATTAAAGCTGGTGATTTTTCACTTATTTGTCAGTTGTATTATAATCTACCTACAAGTCAAGCCATGTTGCACTATCTGTGACTGACTAGAGACATTAAACTGTAGATCATAATACAAGTTGCAACAGTTCCACATTAACAGTGTCGAAAAATGTGTGCCTTAAAACATCTGGAACTGAAATTACCTCTACAGTGTGAAGTGGAGGGTTGGTTTGTTTAGGGTTGTGCTTCTGCTCTTTGCACCGGAAATAAAAATTGTACCTTTCTAATAACTTTAATGTAAAGAATTTACCTGTGTGTTGGAGCCTCTTTTAATATGTAGACTAACTTCATGTTTTTCTCTTCCTTTCAGCTGGTGAGCCTACTGCTGATTGGAATTGCAGCATGGGGAATTGGCTTCGGCCTCATCTCTAGTTTCAGAGTTGTTGGAGTGGCAATTGCAGTAGGAATCTTCCTCTTCTTTATTGCCTTAGTTGGATTGATTGGTGCAGTGAAACATCATCAAGTATTGCTATTCTTTGTATCCTTCTGATGCATTACATTGATTGCAGCTTGGTTCATGACATATAAACAACTGCTCTGTCAGCTGAGACTGATGGGGAAGGTGCTTTAGAAACAAAAATTCACAATCTTGCTTTAGTCAAGTACAGTCAAAATTAGACTTTATTTCCCATTTAACTTGATTTCAGTTTCCTGGGTTTTTTTCTCCCTTGTTTGCTTTCCAAAGATAGAATTACTCATGTCTCTTTGTAAAAATGAAAATACTCTAATTTGTTGAGAGCTTTTTATGGTGGCTCACTGTGTCACAGGTGCCTCTCACTGCGTGCTCAGGCCTGTGCTGAGCTAAAGCATGTGAACTGTTAATGTTTAACGTTTGCAGTCTGTGAGTAAGTGTTGACCTCTACAAACAGCATAATGGTGTGAGGTAAGTGCTGAGACACTGGCATAGGTTGCCCAGGGAGGTAGTGGCTGCCCCAGCCCTGGCATTGTTCAAAGTCAGGCTGGATGAGGCCTTGAGCATCCTGGTCTAGTGAGGAGGTGTCCCTGCCAATGGATCTGTAAAGTCCCTTCCAACCCCTAAAATTCTATGATTCTATGATCTGCCTCTGAACACAGCAGCCAAATTGTGAAGATAATCCTTGACTTTCAAAATGTGATCTTTAGTATCAAAGTTGTTATTTTTGTTTTGTATTGTGTTCATATGCAGTAGTCCAAAAGCATGTGAGGCTGTGTTCCAAAAGCAACTTACTTTTTTTTTTTAATCTAGGCTAAAGTTTTTTTTACTGTAATTAATTGCAAGACTGTGTAAAAATCTGAATATGCAATATCCAGAAAAGTATTTTTTTTTATTACTTTATTTAAGTGAAGTATTTTGGCACGACAGCATGAGCCCCTAAAGATGGGGACATTGGCTATAGATTTTCCTCTCAAAAGTTCCTTTTATTAACCTCTCTGCACATGTTTTCTTGCTAGACAAGAAATACCTAACCCGGAAATACCAGCTATGTATGTGGCCAAAAAGAGATAATATATGATGACTGAGTTCTGGGAACATTATTTAGTTCATCTTTTCCCCATCTAGTCTGAATATACTTACATAGTTCTTTTGTTTTAAAGGACTCACTGTTATCCAGTGAAATAAAGAATGCCATTAGGTGTATATGGTATAAAAGCAAAACTAATTTGAGAGTAAATCCTTAACTACTGTTTCCAGTACATGATTATTCTTCTGCTAGTCTTTATTGTGCAGTTTTCTGTCTCCTGTGCCTGTTTGGCACTAAACAAGGAACAGCAGGTAAGAAAAGTTTTCTGACTTGTCTGTTAATCGATAGCAATAATACTGTGAATATATGCATGCACATTTGTATATAGTCTTCCACAAAATGAGGGAAGCATATTTAAGAAAATTGGCATTATCCTATTAATTAAGGGCTAGACTTTAGTCAGTGCTTGGCTCTGGTAGCTAGAAAGAAATACATCTGGGCCCTAAAATGATTTTCACATGTTTTTTTTTAAAATTGATTTAAGTTTCCTTTCTAGGTTAATGGTCACAGGTGTAGCCGCATGGTATCTTGAATATATCATGTGTTCAGCAATTTCAGATAAGCTGGTGAAATTGACAGTAAACATAATGTAAAGGTGATAAAGCCACTGAACTGTTTTTGAGTAACTGAAGAGGTCATAACTACCTTTGGGACAGAGGTGACCCTTCCATGTGAAAGTATAGCAGGTTTTTATGTGGTATGGAGACCAGTTCTTACTGCCTAAGAAGTGGACATGGGTACAATGACTAAATAATCAGCTTCTGCATGTAAGCAAACTTGGTTTAAAGCCTGAGCAGTCCCAGTTAGGTTAGTTGCATGTCCCATTACTAGTGCTCTTGTTGGCTTTAGGAAAAACAAAACAAGAAAATGATTTATACCCATGCATATGCTGCCATTAGGTCCTACTATTTCATTAGCAACACAGGCTGTTTGGACACTTAGCTCATTCTTTAATGTGTTGTCTGGTTAGGGATCAAGATAGGAAGGCTTTAGGGCATTATCAACTTGATTTAGTGTATTGGTTTCCAATGAAATGTGAAACAGTTCAATTAATATAATGTGTTTGTTTATACCCTAGAGTGAACTTCTAGAGGTGGGATGGAATAACACCAACAGTGCAAGAACAGATATTGAGAGAAATCTGAATTGCTGTGGATTCAGAGTTTTCGATCCGAATGAAACCTGCTCCTCTGTAAGTTCTTCAAGTGTGAAAAACCTTAACATTCTCTCACTGTGTTTGTTTGAAAGTGGACAGCTGTTTTCATAGTTACAGAAGCAGTGTTTTAACAAATGTGTAAGGTTGTTGTTACAGTGATACTGAGCTCTTCTGTTAACTTACTGGGGAGACAATGACAGCACCCTGCAAAGGTTATACTCCATTGTAATTTCTATGTTTTTTTGGAGTCTTTTAAAACTGCTAGAGTTCTGTCCATGGCTAGCAGTCTCTTCTAGAGTGAACTAGATGCTTTCAGTCAATGAAGTGTCATCAGTAAATGGAATTAAATTCTCTGTATCTGCTGCAGGATTGTTTTAGGAGTCACCAGTGTAAACCATGTGCCCCAATAATAGAAGAATATTCTGGAATGCTGCTGAGATTCGTTGGTGGCATAGGACTCTTCTTCAGTTTCACAGAGGTGAGTAGGACATAAGAAAATTGAGTGCTTTTCCCCTACTTTTAAGGCTTTTTAATTTTTGTGAAGCACTTAATTTTAGGGGATTTATTACAGGAAATTTCAGGAATCAAGTTATTAGGTCACATTTTTCCAGGCTGTCAGCTCACTTAAGTCTACCAAATGGAAGGCTTGTCTTTACTCAGCACTCATTCTTGCAGCTTTTATATTATGTAGACTGCAAACCACAATGTTAAAATGTGGTGCTGCAAATGTCAAGTTTTTTGGAAAGTTAGTTGTTCAGGTTTACTATTTTTCAGCAGCAATAGAAAGAGTTGTTTTACCATGTTCCCTGTTCTTCCCACCTGCTCCCCCCTGGTGAACACAGAGTCTTTGGGGATTTTTTTAATTTGGGGATTTTTTAATTTGGTGCCACCTGTAGTGCAAAGATAGAGTTGCATGATGAGTGATGTGCATTTTAAACATCAGGTTGACATTAAGAAATCTTTAATTCTTTTCTTTAGTACCCTGATGATACATAACCTGCTTTGATTGGGGTGTAAAAATCCTCAGAGCAGGTCTTTTGTAACCCCATAGCAGAGCATATGAAAATACTACTCCTGCTGCTTAGTACACTTTTTAGAAGGTTTGTAGATATTACAGCAACAAGAAAGATAAAGCAGCTTAAACAGAATCACTCTGATGTCAGCCCTCAATTTCTCTACTAAAAATGTGAAGCTGCTGGGAGGGAGGAAGGTGAGTGAGGGGAGTGGTGTAAGAAAAATAGCCTTACAGCTAAGTGGTAACTGTAATATGAAACAATTTGAGTGATTTGTTCATTATGCTAAAGGCAGGTTTATGAGTATTTCTGATTTGGGGAGAGGGAAGAATAATTTAACTTGACACAACTATGGGAAATATTTTATATTGCATTGTGGATATAGTTTTGGCTTTTTTTTGTTTATAGTTTTAGCTCTCTGGTTTTGTTGTTCTCTCTGTTGCTAGGTATGAATTTTTTCTGAGAAGGTGCATTCTCTTATTGAAAAGGCTGCTGTGTGTTTGTACAATTTTAGCAACAGTAAAATAGCCTAAAGTTCTATACTGGCAATTCATTGTCAGGATTTTATGTTTAAAATGATTTTTGTGAAACTGATAGAAGGTGGGGGTGGAGACCCTCTGCTTATTAATATCTTTGGGGTTTACTTTCAGATTCTGGGAGTCTGGCTGACTTACAGATACAGAAACCAAAAGGATCCCCGTGCAAACCCTAGTGCATTTCTTTGATGCACTCTGAAGAGCTCTTGAAGTATATAAAGGACTGAATCTTCTCTCTACACCCTCTACTTAAAAATACTGATTCTCCATAGTCTGGTATCTCTCCGTAATAGGAGTTCTACATGTACCCAAAATAAATCATAATTTACATTAGAGATGTGTAGTTTTCATGTTTAGTTTCCACTATTTTTCTTCTAAGAATCTCTATCTTAAAGTAGATGGGTGCATTCAGTAGCTGGGGAGAGTTGAACTGCTGGTTAAATAACTCTGTTAAGACTTTGTTAATTGATATGGTGAACTCTATATGTGAGTTTTATAGCACTACTGGCTTATCTGGTGTCAAAAAAACCCCAACCCTGAAGTATTTTCTGCTGTATTCACTGATTACAAAAATTCACGTGAATTCTCATTAAAATGGTAAAAATGTATGGTGGATGGTTGGCTATGATTTGCTTAGGTTTTAAGATGAACTCTAGAAAACTTTTTTTGTCTCCCACTTTCCTGCTAAGGTAAAAATAGAAGCTAAGGATGTTATTTTCTGTAGTGCACATAAGTGTATGTTAATGACTACTGTAGTCTTCACTCCTCCCTTTCCCTGTTTGTTTTGGCTTTCTGATAGCTTTAGAGTTTTGTTGAGAATAAAAGTAATTTTAATGGATATTGTCACTTCGAGAACAATGAATGAAGAAAACCAGGAGAATGTAACCTGCAGCTGATTAACTTGAAACTTTTTTTTTCTTTGACAAGCGAATGAAGTTTGGTATTTGCACAATCAATGTCGGAATCAATGTCTGTCATCTCTGATGTAAGAAACTTGGTGTCTGGACAGTTGTTGTACAGCTATTTTTTCAGATGGTGTAAAATTATTGTTGTGATAACTCAGCACTGTATATTTCTCTGTCATCCAGATAACAGTCTTGATTTCGTGAGAGATTGAATGGTGTGTAAAAACAAAAAATATTTGAAAAATACAGTTTCTAGTAGTTTGTTTTATAAAAGCAAAAGAAACAAAGTTAGAATGCTGCATTACCCATGTATTAAGTATTGTCTGGGCTGGAGGAAAACGTGGTCCCTCTTTCCTGCCTGTAACAGAAGTGATACATCTGCTGGAACATCAGACTTCTAAACCTTCAAGGTGCATCATGTTCCACTTGTTTCTAATCACACTGAATTGCAGACCTGCACTGCACGTTTTCTTCACTCAGTTGCTGCTCTGGTGTGGTAGGCAGCAGCTGTAGCCTGAAAGACAGCTCTGCAGAAAGAAAATACAGCACCTGAGCGAGGTGGAAAGGAAGTCAGGACAGACAAAAGTAGATTCTCTGTATAGCTTCCCTTTAGTAGGGAAATGCCTCCTTACTCCTGCAGAGGAGGCAAAACCAAGTTGCAATCCATGCCCATCAGAGCCCTTTCAGCCTTTTGTGTGCCGACTGCTCCTTAGGAATGAATAATGCCGCGATTTGAAGGGGAGGAGGAACCTAATGCAGAGGGATGGCAAGAGCTGGCTGGCACTGCATCAGGTGTAGCTGGTTCTTCAACCTGCAGTCAGCGCCACCTCCTGGTGTTGGTGTGTGGGTTCTGCTGCGCCTGTCGAGCTGTTGGTGTCTGCCTTGAGCATGTACTTGTGCGTTCAGGGTAAGACCCTGCTTGTGTGCTGAAACACCTTTAAGAGCCTTCAGACTTAATGAAGTGTAATGTAAATGTACACAGTGCTTTTTTTCCTCCCCCAAGTGCTGTCCTATTTCAACAACTGATCAGCCATTCTCCCCACCTGTCAAAGGGACAGTGATGATCTCATGGCTGTCTTTAGGAACAGGTAATTTTTCTAGTCTAGGCAGGCTCTGTATTTTGAACACTTCAGTAATAAATTCAAGGAGGACTCATGTGGAGTGAGTTAATGAAGCTTAAAATAATACCTTGCTGCTTCAATTTAGACCTTTATTCGTAATTGTTTTTGTATTGGCTTGGGTTTTGTAAATATGGTAGGTGATACTGGAATGTAAATGTGCATCACTGTGAAGGTACTGAAAATATTACCCATTCAGAAACTCTCATGTCTCACAACACGCATTTGTTTTACTAGTCTAAAGAGAGATCAGTGGGTCGTATGGTTTGATTAAAAGTTTTTCTGTCATATTAATAATACTTTGTCTCTTCAGGATTGTGATTAAAAAAAACCCGAACACCCACACAAACCCTGAAATTCCCATCAGAGGTGTGGATTTGCTTTTCAGACCTGGTTCTGAAGGGGGGGGCAATAAAACATGTTGAATCTGACATTCATTTGGGACAGGAAGAGTATAGCCAGTCGGGGAGGTGTGACTTGCATGTGAGTATACAAGAAATGCTGTACTATTCTGACATGCCAAAATGGAGCACTTAAAAGAATTATTTATACCTATTCTTGGTGGGTTTTGTCATTGGAGTTTGCTTTGTTCATTGCTTTCTCCTCTTGAAAAAACGTTCTCACTGTATAAAGATTTTCTGTGGTTGTTTGATTTCTAGAGAGGCACTTTTATTTTTATCTGACTGCTTGAGAATTGGACTTCACTGTAACCAGATTTTCTAGAAGCTTTTTACAGCAGCAGAGTATCAAAGTAATAGAGTGATTTAACTCAGAGCACTTTTATTGCTTACATTAGATGGTTTTTGACCTTAGTTATGTTGAAATGCTTTCTTCAAGTTGGTTATTCTGGAAAGTTGAAGGGAGTCAGGACATCTTTCTACAAAACACCTACATGATTTTATCATATAAAAGTAACTGGCTATAAAATAATAAAATCTAATTCTTCTGCAGTGGTGTGAGAAAATGAATCCAGATCTAAACTAACGGATACTACTGCACAGTATCTGCCTCCTTTCACATGAAAGTAATTGCAAAAGGAAAACCTTCTATAACTTGAAGCAATACCTGTAAAACTGTACCTTCAAAGCTATAGGTGACAAGTGAATGGGAATGTGCTAGTGTTATTAACTTGCATTATTATTTTTAGGCCTAGTTACTTAAAGATTGTCTGAATGCTAGTGGAATTCTGAAAACCATATCCTGCATAGCTCACGTTATCTTGAAAATTTGGCTAAGGTGTAAAGCAAGTGACAAAAGCATAGCCTTGAGTGCAAAAAATTAGTTTCAGTTCAAAAAACTAATTCCTTGATACTTGTAGGCCGCACTAGCTTGGGTATTTGCACCTATGGCATGTAGACTATGAGACCCTTATATCCATTTGCTGGATATTATCCATAGCTCAGTACATCTGATGTCACGTTGGTAGTGTTACAGAAACAGACTTTAAAATGTGATGGCACAGACAGCTTTTGTTTTACATCAGCAAGTGTCCTTTAGGTTGAATAGGTAAAGACAATTCTGATAACCAATTGCTCCAGCCTCCCTCTGTGCTGTCCCTCTGTTAAGTGATGTGACCACCTCGTTTGCTTTTTCTGGCTGATAGCTGTTCCTAGAGGATACTTCTGCCCCCCACTGCATCCTTTTTTTCCTCTGTCTTCTGGATGCTTCAGTAGAAAGGAACATGTACTGAACTCTTGAAGGAATACTGAATTGCATTTCTGGGACCAATTCCAGGTATCAGTTGAGATTTTTCTGGTTGGTCGGGTTCACATAGTTTACCAAAGACACATTTGTGGGTATCTTCCTGCTAATTTTGCTGAGAGATTTCCTTGAGCTGAAACCCTTTCATCGCTTTCCTGTCCTGCCCTCCCAAGTATTTTCCTTTCTCAGTTCTCATCATGACTGGAAGTGGCAGCAGTGGTATGAATTATGTCGTTGCCAAAGAGCTGGGAAGATCTGGAGGTATGCTCCTGGGTAAAGTCTTTTCTCACTGGTGCTGCTGCTGAGTTCTTAGATATTTGAGGCTGGAAAGTCTCCTTTTTGCCTAAGTCTTACGGTATGTGTACTCTCATTGTGTTTATCTGCAGTGTTTCTTAGTTCTGACTTCTCTGGTCCCTTTTGGGCTTGTAAATACACAATCACAAGCCGTAACACAATCATGAAACCAACCATATACTCAATACATTATCACTTTATTAATCATCTCAAGGCATTGCTAAAATTTGATGTAAGCAGGAATCTTTTAAGGGAAGCACTTTTATCTTTAATCACTTTAGAATGCAGCCAGTTTAAAAAAAAAAAAAAAGAAACAAAAGAGCCCCATAAATGAAGAACCCCATCTTCTAGTCTCAAGCACTTTTCTGTGAAAGGTTTCCACTTGTTTTCTTAACTGTAAAGAAAGGGCTGATAATGAAAGCTGCACATAGGCTGGTGCTATGAGAAAATAAATGGAGAGGAAGTCCCCTGAGCAATAGAGAGCTTAGCTAGCTGCTGAAATCGGAGATAAAAGGCTGCTTTCCTCTACCTGGGTTTGGCTGGGGTAGAGTTAATCCTCTTCATAGTGGCTTGCATGGTGCTATGATTTGAATTTGTGACCAAAATGGCACTGGCAGCACAAGGTTGTTGTCTGTGATTGCTGACACTTAAACAGAGTCAAGGTCTTTGCTGCCCCTCATGCTGTCCTGCCAGCAAGTAGATTTGGGGTTCAGGAGAAGTAGGGAGGGGGCACAGCTGGGACAGCTGACCCCATCTGACCAAAAGGATATTTCATACCATGTGGTACCATGCTCAACGTATAACCAGGGGGAAGAAGCAGGAAGAGGGAGGGGATGTTTGGAGTGATGGTGTTTGTCTTCCCAAGTAACGGTTATGCATGATGGGGTCCTGCTGTCCTGGGGATGGCTGAACACCTGCTTGCCCATGGGAAACAGCTAATTAATCCATGGTTTGTTCTGTTTGTGCATGCAGCTTTTGCTTTACCTGTTAAACTGTCTTTGTCTCAACACATGAGTTTTCTCACTTTTACCCTTCCGATTCTCTCTCCAATCCCACTGGAGTGGAGTAAAAGAGCAAGCAGCTATTTGGGGCTGAGCTGCAGGCCAAGGTTAACCCACAACAGCTCTTTTCCTTCCAAAGTGCTGAAATGTAAAATGTGTCTGTGGTCTCAAGTAGCACAGTGATTTTCTAATAATGGTAGATGAAGATAAGGACAAAAAAAACCCCAAACAAAACACAGCAACATTTTGTATGTAAACACTTGAAATGGATTTATTTTTTAAAAAATCATTTTTACAGTTGGATCATACAGTATTCTTCTGTACACCTTAAATTAAAAGCATCCAGCTTTTAAAAATGCTGCCCAGTACAAAAGTGCTAATGTAAAACTGTAGTGTAAATGTATAGAAACCATCACTACACATCACTAAATATCACTCTAAATAGTCTCTTCACCAGTGTCAATGCATGGGGAAGAGATGGAAGATCAGACTTCACAATATTTAAGGGATTCCTTCTTCCCCTTACAGTTCAGTCTTCAGGAGCTTCAGCGCTTTCTGCATATTCGAATACACTAGAAATGAAATATTCATGCGTGTTATTTTTGCTGCAGCTTTCTCTGCCAGCGACTACAAATGCTGCAGAGAAAATGTCATTATTATTAAAGGTTTTAATCACATGCCTATTGCTATAGGGATTCTGATGCACTGTGCTCTTCCAGGCAATTTGTGAACGTCATCAGTTTAATTTTGACTGGTGAGAACATACATCTGTTAATGCAAATGCATGGGCATTCACGGGACAGAGACAGGAGCTGTGCAGCAGTGAGGGAGGGTTCTAGCAAGCATCTTTCCCTGCTCCCAGAAGGTTTTCTGACCTGGCTCAGCAAGATTTGTATGCAAGAGTTCTCACCGTTGCTTGCAGTGAATGCTGCTGAATTATGCAAGTTTCGACTGACTTATGCTTGCTTTTAGAACAGATGGATGCTTAAGGCTCCAGGGCTCTGCCATCATTCTCTTCACCTCACTGAGTTTAAGTCTAGCATCCTGTTTAATTTTAATCCAAGTTAAATATCTTTCAGCAAGTACTGACTGTGAGACTCTGTAATGCCTGGTGTTATTCCTTGTCACAT